CACTTATATTTTCTTTCCAGGAAAACACACCTGAAGCAACAGTCAAACTCCTTTGCTACACAGACAGCTCAGACACTCTTGCCTGCTTTTACTTATGCAGAATATAAACTGCCACCAAGTCTTGGCTATCTAAAAGCCAGCTTAAGCTAAACTTAGCTAAGAGAGTTCTTAAGGGCACTCAGTCTTCCTAAAACCCTTCTTTGTCATTCTCAGTGGTCCCAGGTGAAACTTTGTCAGAGGATAACATCTTAAACTCTGACCCCTCTACGGGCAAACCTTGATTCAGTCAGCCTTTCTTTGTGGAATAATAAATGAGAGTGAGAGAGAGAAAGAGAGAGAGAGAAAGAAAATAAAGATGAAATTTTTACCAACTTTTAACTTCTCATTTCACATTTCATCTAACTCAATATATTTTGTCAACGTCGGAGGGAATCAGACAGAAACAACAGAAACCTACTCATCCAAAATATGGTTGCAGAAGCAGTTTTCCAAGTCTGTTTCTTTCACCATGCAATCCTTCTCTGCACAATGCTCACACTCAGCTGCATCCCATTGGAACTGATTCCATCCACAGCTGAGCACACACTGCTGCCTTGATTTTTTCCCCAGTAAGACAAACCTCAGAGACAGGAAGATTCGGTGAACAACAGAAACACATCTTGCCATGCAGGTACAGCTGGGTAACAGTCACTGGAATCATGAGGGGGAAACTTCAAACAGCAAAGAGCTCGTTTGTTAAACACACAGCAAGGAGAATTGTATTTTGTTACTGGCTGCACTCAACAGGTAAAGGTTCACCTGTTTCTGGGGGGCAAACAGCCTCTGAGTGCAACAGATACTAAAAATCTGTTTCAGTATCAGATTATAAAGTGCACATTAACAGACAGCCTCTGCACTAGGAAGTTTGTACCCTGAAAACTTAAGGACAAAGTGTAATTTGTTTCACAAATAGGTAACAGACGCAGATTTAAATTTCATGAGCAAATAAGGAACTGCATTAATTTCAAGTTACACAAATATTTCAGACTCCTGAAATCAAGTCCTGATGTTCCTAAGGTAATACATCAAAGGTACAAGATAGCTTGGAACAGAACCTGGGGAGAGGTGGTGGTCAATCCAACCCTAACCACAAGACAATTCTTCCTGTAATTAACAGAGTGCAACATGAAAGCAGTCTTTGTCCATGAAATATCCCAGCTTTCCTACATGTTTGAACCTAGTCAGATAACCAGAAAAAGTGTGTGTCAGCTCTGTATGCAGGTTGTTTTGGACATGTATCATGTGTGCTTAAATAGGACGGCCTATTCTTTACTTAAGAAAAAATATGAACTTTCTTTCTGGATTCTGAGACGCTCCTGTGTAAGATTTCCTACACATAGTTGTTTGGTCTCATATACATGTCCACTGTCAAGTTAAAGAAAAAAAAAAGAAAGTCTTATTACCATATTTTTCAGGACACAGTGTTTACAAGATCTGCAATACTGACAAGCACCTTTTAGATTCCCTGATTTGGCTTTGAGACAAAAAAAAAAAAAAAAATTAAGTGCTAAATGTGCAACAGTCAATAAAGATAAACCCTTTGATATCAGTAGCAATAGGTAGAATTAACAGATTACCATCCAATTAACACATGCAGTCAAAATATGACCTACACAAAGTTTGAAATACCAATCAACACTGCAGTCTTACTGCCATTCCTCTCTGGTCTGAGATGAATATTGAAGTAAGAATACAAACAGCCTGTTTACTGCTAAAATCATATCAATTTCTATTGGCAAAAGTGTTAATGTAGTAGAAAAGAAAAAGACATTGCCTTTGCAAAATTTTTAGCTGTAATTTGAGTCCTATTGTTTCCCACAACGTGCATTTATATATTTTGATATTGGCATTTAAGTATACTTACATAAAAACATAAAGACATAATCTTTTTCTCCCACCTCAAACTATGTTGCTAGATATATGTACTGCAGAAGAGACACACACAGCACGAATTTAGAGACTTTGATGACTAAAGTAGATATAGATACTCATATAAATTGTAAGAATAATCTAATTTTATCAACTTTCCAGCCTTACAGTTACAGCACCTGTTGAAGTCCAGAAAGCAATACCTAAGTATTTGTCATGAAGGATTACTCAAATTTGCTAGCTTTTACAGGATCATGCTTACAGGGCCTCTTTCCACTTGTACCCCAGAAAAAAATGAATGCTCCATCCAATTTCTGTGTGCATGTGCTACTGGTTGTACATTCCCCTGTGTGTTAGTATTCCACCCTGTTCCCATCCGCTCCATGCACACAGACCCCTTGGAATTGTTGGCTGGGAAGAAAGAAAGAAAAAAAAAATCAAATAAATGTAATTATTTTGTTGTATACCTAAGTAGATAGAGAGCACATATAACTTCAAATCAACATTTTACTGAAAATTTAAGGTCAATACTAACATTCTCTATTTTAATCAAATAGTAACTGAAGTAGACACGAAATGAGGTTTTTTTTTTTTTATAATAAGAACAATCAGTGACTGGAATAATCTCCCCAGAGAAGTAATTGGAGAAGTGTTAGATTCCCCAGCATTGGACAAGTTTAAGATTTAGCTGGACAGGGTGCTGGGCCAAGTTTTCTAGATAGTGATTTTGTCAAGAAAGGTAGGACCAGATGATCCTTGGAGTACCTTACTGACCTGCTATTCTACACTTGACATAAACTACTTCTACATATAAGAGATTTGTGACAACCACACAAAATACATCTAATAGAATCACAATAATAACGTATCTCTCATTCATTAAAGTATTTCTGTCATGGTGGACCAGCAGCATCTTCCTAACAACGTTCATTCAACTCCTTGAAATCTTAATATTGGAAAAGAACCACTGTACTGCTATATAAAGATTTCAAAATGTGTAATCAGCCCTTAAAGAAAAGCCACACAATAGATGCTCTCTGAAAAAGCATTAAGTACACACATTCCTTCAGTTTCAAGGAAGCAATATAAAAACCTTATACTGTTTATTCAAATAAAGTCACACATTATGGGTTTACTTCTCCCTACCCCTGCCCAAACAATTGATGTTTTACCAGCTCTGCAACGTCTGATCTCTCTCCAAGTCAGACAGGAGATCAGAGGATTTAACCTGTGTTATCCTTGTAAAATTGCATATAAAATACAGCAGAGAACATGTATCTGTGGATCTCATTTAAACTGTGCTTAACAAAGCACAAATATTTATTGTAAAGCATAATAGATTATTAGGAAAATGAAGAACTTCATATCTCTTTGTTGTTCACATCTAGTGATAACAAAGATATCAAATTCTGGAAGTCTACCAAAAAGTTACATTTTATTATGAACACGTATGATTTAAGCATTGCCAATAAATTCTACATATTTAGTTATAGCTGACATTTATGATGTTACTTGAAGAATAATGAATGCCCTAACTTGAAATATGCACATGCCTTTAAGAAGTGAGCCTAACGTCAAAGGAAGCTTTTAGTAACTTGCATAGGAACAAATATCTTCTATCATCTAGAAAGGTTAATGAAATCACATTTTCTGAGATTTCTGTACTACAGACCAATGTGACAGCAAAAGAGAGCATTTACTACCCAGAAGGGAACAGAGAAAGTAAATTATTGTATGATAGTCCCTACATATCTTAACTGCTAGTAAAATATTTTAATGTTTCTTTCATTGTATGCATTAGATAATCTGCAACGTACTCAATGAGTTATTTCTGAAGACTGTCACAGCATACTTGCATTTTAACCTTTTATGCAGAAACAATTACTGTATTAATCACAGTAAACAATTACTGTATTAATTCTGTTGGGCAAACTCAGGGGGGGAAATGCTCGAAAACTACTCCACCGTTTCAGATTCACTTCGTATTTCCTCAGACCTAATTCACAGTCAATTACAAGACCTGCACTATAGAACAAATGTCAAGGAAAAACTAGAAAATTTCATTTGGCACCGATGAGTTTCAGCCACGACAATAACAGACGGGGGATTCTGCAGCAACAATCACTTCGCAGAAACTGCTCACTTGCGCGTTTATTAAATACACTCCCCTCATTCTCCCTCCTACAACGGGCTGATAATCCACTTGCAGCAGCCTCGGGCCAGTTCCAACACAACTCGATGTTCCTGCAGTTGACGTGCAAGTGCCCAAATGAAAACAAACTCCCCCACACGCACGGGGGTTTACGCTACAAAAAACAAGACTCATTGAAAAGTTTTCCGGGAGGTAGAAACCAACAGAGTTCCATTCAAGAAAACTGAGCGTTTCGGGCATCCCTCCAGCCTCTACTGAACAGCTCTCTCTTCAGTAAAAAGAAGTTTCTTAAAACCCATCAACCCAAAACTAACGTTAACTTAGGTGGAGCGAGGAGCAGGGGGTGAGAGAGAAGGAGAGAGAAGAACAAACGACAGTAATCTGCAGGGCAGAAGGACAGCTGCCACTCAAACAACACCAACGCTCGATAAATAATATCCCTCAAAACCTGGTGTTTCTTTAGCACTTGGTAATGGTTTTGTCGATAGAAAGCGGGGAAGAACCAGAAGTGCCGGGCAGCTTAGAAAGCTGTGGTTTCTTTCTCTCGGAAATACTGCCAGACGCCGAGAAGGTGGGGGGCTTCGGGAAAAAAAACCAAAATAACACGGTAACTGAAAGCTAAAGCTGACTGGTTTGAGGTTTTGCTCTAATCAATAAGAACGGCTGTTTAATAATTGAGATTGCACAAAAAAGCGAGCGAGCCTTCTGTCCTACAACAAATACATTATTATGATTTAGCACCCACGTAATAAAGGGTTATATCGATTCTGCAGAACCGAGCTGAGAAACCCGCTAAGGGACTAACATTCTCCTCCATTCCTCTAGCAGGAGTTTGTTAGTGAGCAGACATCCAGCACAGACACACACAGCAGTCAGGAAAAGCTATGGAGTGGCGCTCAATCCTCCCAAAGTTTCTCCTGCAAGTTTCGGAGAAACCTACCTGCTCTCTGGAAATGCAAGGCAACGAGGGTCTCCTAAACATTTTGCAGCTGCCGTAGTAGCTGACCGAAGTTTCCCCTAGGGACACGCAGCTAGATCTCCTCCTGGGTCTGATCACAGGCACTTTTTCCTCCACGCTGGGGAGCCGTGGGTGGCGGTGATGCTGGTGGTGCGCTCCTCGGCTCTGCGCCGAGAAGATGCCGTGCTCCCCGCCACAGAGTGCCAGAAGGCAGCCTGCCACCCCGACCGTGCCGGCCAGCAGCGGGCCGAGCGCTGGGGGCAGCGCCTGGAGGCTGCTGAGCGACACCAGCCACACCAGGCTGCACAACACCAAGACGAGGAGGCTCCGGCGCAACTTCAGGGAGCTCTGCGGCAGGGTCAGCGCTGCCACCGAGACCAGCACCGTCAGGAGCCTTCCTAGGAACATCTGCGGCTCCTCTTCATGCCCCTCCGCGGGCAGCAGCCACTGCAGCGCCACGAAGTCCCCCGAGAAGCAGCACAGGGGCAGCGCCAGCAGCCACCAGCGGGTCGTGCCGCCGCCGTGCTCCCCGCGCCGGCCGCCGACCAGGTAGCAGGTGAGGAAGAAGAAGGCACAGGCGATGCTGAAGAGAGGGCTCAGGAAGCGGGTCAGGCACAGCAAGGCGTGCAGCGGCCGCGGGCTCCGCCAGCTGCTCCCGTCCTGCTGCTCCCGGGCGCTGCCCCGGCCGGGAAAGGCCAGGAGCGAGAGGGCAGCGGCGGCCAGGACGCCCAGGGCGAGCCGAGCCCGGGAGGAGGAGGCGGTAGGAAAGAGCAGCAAGGAGAGGAAGCTCTTCGGGGGGTCCTGCCGCAGCGGGGTCGCGCAGCTCTTCACGTATCCGTTCCGCAGGCTCTCCGCGCTGCCGGGCAGCGCCGCGGGGGCGGCCGCCCCGCCGCCGTCCGGCTGCGGGCAGTGCTGCGGGGCTCTGCCGGCCCCGGCGGGGGAGGCGGCCGCCGCCACAGCTTCTCGCTCTTCCCTCATGGTGGTCGGGGACGCGGCAAGGGGAGGACGGCGGAGAGGCGCGGGTCGCGCTAGCTGCGTCCCGGCCGCGCCTCCCGCATCCCCTCAAGAGAAGGGAGCCGGGCTGAGCCGCCGCTCGTCCCCCGCGGGCAGCGGCGTCCGCGGCATGGTGGGTGAGGAGGGGAAAAAAGAGAGAAAAGGTAAAAGTCTGGCTCGCCCGCTCGTGGTTCCTCAAACGGCTCCGGCGGCGGGCACTCGCTGCCGCCTCCCAGCGCCCAGCGGCGGCAGCGGCCGCGGCGGAGCCAGCGGGGGTGGGAGTGAGGCGGGGAACGGCCCCCCTCGCCCGCCCCTCTTTCTCCCCTCCCTGCCTCCCGCCTCCCCGCCCGCCTTCCCTCCTCCCCCGGGTTCCGGGAGCCGCACTTCCCGCGATCTTTTTTAAAATATAAATCTGTATGGCTGTGTCTGCCCAGCCGCCCCCCGGGACGGCGTGCGGGGCTCGGGCCGGCCCCCGCCCGGCGCCGCAGCCGCAGCAAGGGACGATGAGGAAGCGATGGAGGGGCAGGAACGCTGAACTGGCGCGGCTTTGTGCTTTATCTTGTCATCTAGCTTCGAGATGCCGCGGAAAAGTTGTTCGTAAGGGCTGTAAAGCACACGCAGAGTATCGAACTGTTTTCCCTCTGAAGAGCATCACTTTTTCCTTTGTATGCTTTTTTTTTTTTTTTTTTTTTTTTTTTTTTTTTTTTTTTTGGTGCCTGAGAAGTTAAGTATGGATTAGAGTAATTATCTACTTTTTTTTTTTTTTCCGCCCTCGTTAACTAAGTTACAAACTAGACCTCATTGCACTACCAGGTTTATTTGCACAGCTAATACCTTTGGAATGGATCAAAATAAAAATTTTGGAACGGATCGTTGGAAGTGTTTAGACTGCTGTAAGGGAAAACAGACAGCTAATGGGATTTTGAGTAATGCCTTTGCTCATTTATTCTGTTTGTTTTTTTCTGGAAAAGTAACTGCTAAGCAGTTCTAAATTTATTATAATTGTGCATGTTTACCTTGTTACTTAGAACAAAGGTCCTTTGAGCCATGTTTCCACATAATATTGTACTGCTTTACTTACACTGGTTCAGAAATCAGTTTAGGTAAGTCAGTGACTGCAGTTTCTGCTTTTTTTTATTAAAACAAGGAACTCTTGAAATTATTTGGTGCCATTGCTTGTAATTCTCTCCCTTTGAGCAGCCCCTGAGTAGCAGCTGGTTTGTGGAAGCTGTGGGGTGGCAGGAAGTGCTGCTGCAGGACACGGGCCTGAAAGTTTGCCATGAACAGAAATCGTCAAGTGTGATGGCTGACAGAAAATGCAGTATGGAATTGCAAATAGAGTAATTTGCAATGGCAAATTTCCCTCCTGTACATGAGAGGGAAATAAGTGATGATTTATTTTTTAAAAGGCAGATCAGTCTAGTGGGATTTTAATACCATAGTACATCTTCCTCTATTCTCTCCTGACTTGGTACACTTAACAAAGATTCTGTGCCATCACATTGGTTCTAAAAAGTTTTCGTAAAAGAAAAATATGTAGTTCCTTTGGGATTATATTCTTACATTTTCTTGTATTCGTATGTTAGTGATATAGATTGGATCACAATCAAGTCTACTTGTAAACGCTTTTAAGGCTGAGAAATACCTTGCTTTTATGTAAATTCTTTATTTTTTTTTATTCCCTTTAATTCGGCTATAAATAAATGCATTCCAGAAATAATTCGCTGGCATCACCTTCATTAAAACACCTTTGGGTATATTCGTAGCAGTGGAGACTGGGAGGTGCCTGAGGAAGACTACAGAGACAGGACATCACATGATCCCTAAATACCATGGATGCAACCATCTGTGGCTTCAGCACTTTCTGAATCAGAGGTGGTGTGTTATTCTTGACAGTTCTTAGTAGTTTTTTAATCCACAAATTTGTCCAGTCTTTTTTTTTTTTTTTGAGTCCACATAGGTTTTTAGCATCTGCAGAGCAGTACAAGAAATGCAACTTCACTACACAAGTGTGAAATATGGGTTTTTTAAAAGTTTCCTACCTGTCTTTATTGATACTCTTCTCCTTTTGATAGAAACAATGAACAGTTGCTCTCTAGTCACCTTGTCTCTTGAATTCATGATTTTATATCTTTCCTCAGTCTTGCATTTATTTTTTAATAAAGTGAAGAGTTTGGGCATATTTTTTTCAGATTCTTTTCATGTTATTGTTTTTTGGGATTTTTTTTTTGAGCACCACTGTATGCTTTTGGAGCAGATAAGAACAGGAGTTATACCCAATATTCAAGACAGGAGCACAGTCCAAATAATGCTTTCTTTCCTTACAATTCCTGTCTCTCATTTGCTTTGCTTTGCTAGGGAAGTGAGACAGCAGATAAACTAAGCATTGTTGAAAGTGGTTCTGTTGAACATTGAACACTGTTTTCACGGTGTTAAGTATATAGATCCCAGGCTCTGATTGTTAACATCTACATCCACTAGATAATTTGATAGGTAAGATTAGGGGGTTTTTTTTTTCTGTGTTTACATTACCGTTATCTACAGTAAATTTCACCTGCCTATGAAGTCAGCGCTGTGAGGCTGTAAGCATATTCTCTCAGTCAGTAGCTTTGTATTAACAGTATACTTTACCACCTTCCCATCTTTTTTCAAATAATTTATCATTAATTAAATAGCTTTAATTTCAGTGATACGTGTGCTGAAGAAATGTACACATTCCAAAATGTAATGGGAATATAGTTGGTCTTTAATAATGTCTCTGTTGCCTAACAACACTCTTCCTACCATATTACAGGACCCCGAGCTGAGAAGGTTCCAATCTAATAATGAATTTCAGTATAAAGAAAACTAGGTTTGAGTACTTTAGTGTCTGATGTAAATTAGAATAGCATTAACTAAATTGCTCCTTGTAACAGAATAATTTTTAGAATAAGGAAATAATTTTTTTATTAGCTATTTCTTAAACAAATACAGAAAAACATAATGTTTCATTAAAATTGAAGACATTTATGTCAGGGGAATGTAATTTTTTTTTATCATCCTCCAGTTTCTTACTAAAACAAGATGGGTGGCTCAGTGATTTGAGTCAGGTTGGCTGTCTCTGACTCATAATAATAAATACTAATATAATTAAATATTTGTTTTAAATGGTGATAAATAAGATTTTCCAAGTTAAGCCTGTTTCATCAGTGGCCTCCCTGTCTTTATGCTGAGGCAGCTTTCTTGTTCCTGCTTTTCTGCCTTTCATCCTGAGCAGAGGGAATGAGCCAATGTCTGGGTGAAAGTTTGGCTGCCAGCAAGGGCCAAGCCACCACAATAACCATGTATACTCAGCCCTGGAGATCTGATCAGGAAAATACTGTTAAATCTTAGGTTTTCCTTGCAAAGACTGACCCTGCTGCCATCACTGTGTTTTAATAGAGAATTTTCATTTGTTTGGTCAAACTCAAAACCAGACTTAATTTTAAAGTGGAATTCTTCATGGATGAGACTATGAAAATATGGTGTTTATACCCACAGCATACTGGCAGTAGAATACAACAACTCATAATTGATTTGGCAGTAAAGACTTACTTTTTCTTCATTAAATCTATACTTGCAAAATTCATAAACTGGTGGTACCTATCTCTACAGTGGAAAATATTTACTGACTTGATTGACAATTTAATATACGTTGTCAAGTTGTGTTTGTTAGTTTCTATTGATTTGAGACGTATGAAGTTCCTTTTGCTTCCTGTGTGATTAAACTTGCAAACACTTAAAATCAGATTTTGAGAAGATGGGTGTATATTACTTTGTAATTCACTTCAGAAAAGCATAATAATGATTAATTTCTCAGATAGAAATGATAATATTTAACATAAGAATATGAAGGAAAAGCAGTCCAAAAGAATATGAACCAAAACCAGTTAATTTAAATTCTCCTAATTCAGAGGATAACTATTTTTATAGCATTGTTTTGAAAGTTTGGTTGGGGTTTTTTTTCTGGCTAAGGAAATTGGAAGTATTTATTTATCCAGCTAACTCCACATTTTCCAGTGTCATTATTCCCAGCGATCCCTACAGTGATAAGTAGCCAATGACCCTCCCATAGGATGAACTACAGGAGTCTTACAGATCTGCCTGTTATTCATCACAGTGCTAGAACACTGCAACAGCACAGTGACATTTTGCTAAAAGCTCACATTTTCCCCAATAGGTTATTATACAGGCAGAATAAAATGCCTTCTTAAAAACCAACTGTGTCTTTTCTCTGCCTAAAAAGAGAAAGAGAAATGTTTGTTCTTTCCTTAATTTGGTGAAAGAAAAAATAAAAAGGAAACTCACTGGAAAGGCCAAACCTACCAACTAGTAGTGCCTCTGTGTGAATGTCTCCATTTACACACTGAAACTTGCACCTAAACACCTTAAACTAAATTTAAAATGTAGTTTAGTGGGTGGTGTCAACTGCTGATTATCTTCCTCCTTGTTTTCTGTGCAGGTTTGCTATCACTTCAGAACATTGCCAATAATAAAACAGATGTGTAAAACTTGGAGTAGTTTTTGAGATTGTAAAGCTGATTTGTAGACTTTGTCCTATTGGATTTGTAGGAATGGGTAAGCCATCAATATTAGCATTTCTCACAAAACAGCAAGGTACTCCTTCATCCAATGAAATACTTTTATATTAATAAAAGATGGAATATTAAGAAAATAACACAGCAAGGTGCAGAAAAGCTGAAATTTATTCAAATGGACTATTCTAACAATCAAAAACTAGGGAGTGAGAAATCTACATGGGGACAACCTTATATCTAAAAAATGGTCAATTTCTAACAACAAGAACTCTAAAAAACCTTAATCTTCTAAGGGAAAACATTTCTGGGAACCTATGACTAAGGTGTGGCTGACAAACGGGATATTCAATAAAACCTCTGGTGGGGGATGACCCAGTGCCTGGGCTGAGCACTGCTCTCACATCCCCTTGCACTGCTGTGCCAGAGCTGAGGGGAGAAGTGGTCTCCTCCTCTTCCGAAGGCCGCCGGGGTTTTGCCGCTCTCTTCTGCCTGGGCCTGTGCGGAGCTGTGGCGCTGGTACAGCCACGTCGGGGCACGGTTGTGCCTCAGCACCTGCGGCTGCTCCCGGCAGCAGCCGCGTCCCCGGCAGCAGCACGGCCCTGCAGAGACCGAGGGGCTCTGGCGCTTCTCCTGCAAGAGACAGAACGGGAGAGCGTGGGGCTGAGCCCTCTTGGGATGCCTGTGGACGCTCCCGGAGACACTCTGGCCTGGCTGGGCTTTCCTGAGCTGAGGCTGCAGGAAAGAGGGCCCTGGCCGGCTCAGCCTGGTGTCCCTGGGGCTCAGCCCTCGAGCCTAATTCCTCACCCAGGGCCTGAAACCTGGGCCTTGGGCAAAGTGCTGCCCAGGACGCCCAGGAAGCATTGGATCTGATCAGCTTTTCTCCTCCATAGGGGCACTCATGCCTCACCCAAAACAGGCTTGGAACAAGACCTTCTTTCCTCCTGGCCCCTGCCCCCATCCCAGCTGCCTGACGCCCCTCCCTCACCTCTCCCCAGCATCTCCAGAGCCTTCTGCCAAGGCAGCATCTGAGGACAATTCCTATCAGCAGCAGCCCCAGGGCTAAGCCCACCAAAGAAAGTGGCACTGTGACCCACAAGGGGGTCGTCTCAGGGCCCATG